CACCCGTCCCCACACACACACACACACACACGTCTCCACACACACTTCTCCACTCACGCGCGCATCCGCACACACACACGTCTCCACACACACACGCACCCCCACGTCTCCACACACGTCTCCACACACGTCTCCACACACACACACACACACACACACACACGTCCCCCCCACACACACACCCACATCTCCACACACACCTCCACACACGTCTCCACACAGACACACACACGTCTCCAGCTGCTGCTGATCTAAATACAGAGTGTGTGTGGGATGAGGAGGATAATGATGGGCCAAATGCAGTCTCGATTGGCAGAAGAGCAACTGACTCCCTCTCACTGACTTACAATCACTCACATCGACATCCGGCTAATCTGCAGGGACGTCCACGTGGGCATTTTAATAACCGCGGAATAAAATCCGATCCGGCTGTAGCGTCTCACTGATGTCCAAGCGGCTAAACAATAACCAGCGAGCTGATTAGACTCACGTCTGGAGATAATACTGAAAATGTGACAAGCAGTGAGGCTAACATTAGCAATGCTTCAAAACTGGTCAAATCTACTGACTTTAATGTTAATTTCCTGCCATGAGTTCTGGATTGTGATTGGTCAGAAGAAGGTGTTTAAGGTATAATTTTCTATAACAGCAGCTCTGACAGTAGTGCAGCTGCAGATCATGCGCTCGTTCTAATACGTTATCGTTTCTATAGCGACAGCTCATTCACAGGGACGTGCACGGCGGACGCGCCGCTAATATTAAACAGATCTTTAAAAAGTCATTGATTCGTTGACGAGACGTTTGTTTAACATTTACGGAAGGAGTCTCCAGTGTCAGCGCTTTGTAACAGTCAGAGGTGAAGCTGTAACTTTGAGTTTTCCAACATCTTCAGGACAGAGGAGTTTATGCTTCTTTGCGATTTCTCGCTAACACGACAAGCTGCGGGGGTTTTTTTGTTTGTTTTTTTAATCTTATTAACTTCAAGAGAGAGAAAAAAAAAGAGAGGCTGGTGAGTTTATAGCTGCTATAACGTAAGTGAGAACAGGAAATAACTTGTTTCATGAGCATTAAATGCAACTATAAACAGATAAAACAATGATGTTCTTTAATAAATAAAAAATATATATATTCGTTGGCAAATTGCTGTGGTATAAGCGGCATAAAATGTGTTTTTATTCAAAAACAATCAACTTATCAACAGGTTAGTAACAGTAACTCTGCATCATCACAACATACATGACCTGAAGTGTCACACCAGGAAACACCTCATGATACACCACGTATGTGAAGAAATGACAAAATCTTACATACGCTAACACTCTTCCCCAAAAAAAAAAACACTCCTGCGTTTCCACTGACCCTCATCAGAGCTGTTTTTCAAACAATTAAGTCCTGATGTCACTGGAACACAGAGAGCATCCTTTCTAAGAGCTAGTGAATTTCTCTGAGACCCTTCAGCTCTCGTCACTCGGACGTCATCGGTGTATTTATAACACGGAAGTAAGGCATTGAGACATTAAAATGTGGTCATTAGAGAGCAGCTGTGAGAGCAGAATAGCATCTCTCCATCTGAACACACATCCTGTAACACTGAGCTGTTAAAGAGACGAATAATAATAATAATAATAATACACTGTTCTATTAAAGCGACAGACACAAGTAGTTTTTATTTTTCGAGCCAAATTTGCCAAACTATAAACCTAATACGTTCATTAAAGTGCTTTGTCCGACACAGGACACAGATCTCTCACTGGACTTTACTGACGTCCAAGAAAAAAAATCTAGTATAAGAGTAAATATCTAGTTAAGAGTTCGATAATAAAAGCATTAAAAATGTCCCTGTTGAGGTTTCATAAAATTTTCTTAAACATTTTCAGTAGTTATTAAAGCTGAATGTGAAATCAGATCAGTGTAGAATTTAAGTGAAAAAAAGGAGGAATCAGTGAGATGTTCACTTTTTTCTGCAGATCCCTTTTGTATTCTGTGATAATAAACTGAGCTCTGAACTGTGCGTTGTGAAAAAGTTAAAGTGCTATGTCATTATTTTGACTTAAATATTTCATTAATTTATGAAGATATAAATTAAGATATGTTGTTTTTGATGTAATATCTCGTTATTTAAAATTTCAACAACATTCTCCATCAAACACCAACATTCTCCATCAGACACCAACATTCACCATCAAACATCAACATTCACCATCAAACATCAACATTAAACACCATCAGACACCAACATTCACCATCAAACATCAACATTCACCCTCAAAAACCAACATTCACCATCAAACACCAACATTCACCATCAAACACCAACATTCACCA